TGGGTAGGAAGTGGGAGGAACAAGCTGCTTGATATCACTTCTATCGGCATGTCATATATGATTCTGTAGACTCTCCTTTGCTTAATTTGTTTGTGAGTGTTATCTTTTGCTGGATGTATTAACTAGGGTCCCTTTTTCCGTTTGTTAATATACATAAATGATAAATGATTCTTCATTCAAGAGTGCCTGTACACAATGGAGATAGAACTAAAGTGCACTTGGCTTGTGCACTTATTTTGGGTGCGCTGGATAGTGGAAGATAATTGTTTGGGAACATCGTCGAGTATTTGTCTGTTGTGTACAAGTAGAAGTTTGAGGAATTCAACATAGATTCGAAGAGATTTATGGGTCTCGTGGAGCGGAGAAATTATTTAATTATAGTCGTAATGGATCCATTGCTTATGTGCCTACTAGTATTGAGTACTTGCCTACTAGTATTGAGTGCATGCCTGCTACTGATTAAAGGGGCTTTGCGTCACGCCACTGAGGCTAAGAAAGCCATTGAGGAAATGCATGGCAAGTTACTGGAGGGCAGAGTAAGTTTTGTTGAGGTTGCAAAATCTAGAGCTGAACGATGCCAACGACTAGAGCAAAATCTAAGATAGAGCTGAATTTAACATCTTCAGTACCATGTTTCTGTGCTGGATAATAGGATGCCTAGAATATGTTACTAGACTCTGCAAGTACTAGTTTTTCCACCTCTCGTAATTCCTTTCATTAATGACGTGTTCGTTAAGGAGGATAGGGCTGCACTTGATACTATATGGTAGAAATATAAGCTAAAATCTTGTTCATTAAACTGTTTAATAACACTGTAGTGCTATGCACCAAATTTTATTCGAATGTCCTTTTTGTTGTATTTTTCCACTGTTCTCAGGCCAGTCCAACTGGGAAAATCATGAGCTGTTACAAAAATCGGTTCGATTGATATCTAAAAATCGAATATTTAAAAATCAGATAAAAATCGGCCAACTAGCCAGTCCAACTGTAAAACCGGTCGACCCGCAACTGGTTTTAGCGATTTTAACATTGGTCTTTCCTATCAAAAATTTGAAAACTAACTACTTTACTAAGCCCAAGCTTTAAGGCCCGAATGGTTTATCTATCTTAATAGTGATCAACCCTTTTTAGTGGAAATTATATGTAACCCTACTTTTCAAGTTTCAAGTTCAAAAATCAGAATTTAAGTTTTAATGTTCAAAAATCAGATATTTTATAGATAAATACAGATTTATTTTTATATTTAATTAAATATTAATAATAATATTATAAAAAATAATTTATATACACCTAAATTAATATTCAACCCTAATTGGCTAATTCACGTCTCTCACTCATCTCTCTCCACTCTCTCTCTCTCACTCTCACGGCGTGGAAAGGGGCTTCTCTCCGGGCAGCCGCCACCACCGAAATGCATCGCCTGTCGGAGGGGACATAGGAAGCACAGCCACCATATCCACAGATCGCGTCGCCCACTGGCTCGCCGGCACCATACCTACCAACTTCACGCACCATCGCTCGCCGG